TAGACGCCAGAAATGTATGCTCACCGTTTTCAACAAAGAATTCATCTTCGAGGATTTCTCTCGCTAAAAAATCCTGACTTTCGCTGGAGAGAAGCCCTTGAATGAGATACTTCATGCCTTGATCATGGTTCCGTAAGCTTTCAAGAAGCCATTGTGCTTGTTTTGATCGATCTTCACCCTCAAAGATCCATTCCTTCAGCACAGCTTCGATATCCTCGCTACGAATAGCACCTAGTATGCCAAGTCGCTCAATGAGGTCTTTAGGTTCGAGATTCTCTGAGAGTCGTTCGTAGTATCGATGGAGAATGTCTTGTTCTTGGGGTTCCATGTGTGTGGCGATGATCTGACTCTATTGTTTTCCCCTTGTCTTCCATATATCCTTTATACAAGGGTCATGGACGACTTTGTTTTGATTGTGCGACAGTTAAAGTACACAGGGTACTAATAATTGCGTCGGCGTGGTTGATAAGCCGTCACAAAGATCACATGTTGATCAGTCTACTCCCTGAAACAATAATAAAACAAATTGTGCACGTTTTCTTGATTTCATTTCCAAGAAGGGTATCGAATGTCAACTACACGGAACGTTAAGTGGTCTGTTTGCAGCACGAAATCGTAAAATATAGAAATAAAAGAAATATAAAAAGAAAAAATCACAATAAATATTTTTATTGTTGTCGCCCCCTTCCTTTTCTTTCCTTTTTTTTACTTTTTCTTTTGTCTTGCTGTTGTTTGTGGGAGTGGAAAGCTTTTATAGGCACGAACTAATCCAAGACACAGGAAGCCCATAAAGTCAATTATACTTGTCGGTGTATCATCAATCAATCTCATCCCGAGCCTTCACAGCCTCCCCTTTTGTCGGGCTTCCTGTCCCGAGGAGGCTGCGAAGGAGACTAGAACCTTTGCTTTCGTGCTGGCCGAGAAAAACTAAGGTGTATCATGGGATAGGGGAAAGTACCTTACCCGAAAAATTTTACAAAATTTTCCTTTGGATTTGCAAGCCGTAGAAATGTGCTGAAAGAAGAACAACAAAGTCATTCTAGCTGTTGCTGTAAGTATTTCGCTGAAATTTGCATACTGTGTTTATCTCGTGATCGATACTTGTTAGATTGGAATTGATTTGTCATGATTTGAATAACTTAATGTCCAGGTAATTGAATGAGCTGAGTTTCCCTGATTCAAGGTGTTTGCCTTATTTTTCCTTGCTTTGTTTATGTTTTCTTTGATTTTAGGAATTTATTGATTTTATGTCAGATTTCATCCTATAGACTGAACGGTTTGAAGTTTTAAAGTTCTAGCCTTAAGTAAATGACTTTAAAAAATAGCTCGTCTTTCATGCCTCGGCTTTATATTTTTTTGATAGTTTAACAAACTAAACTCTTTCAATTACAATATATGAAAAAAACTAACGTTCATTGAACCCGTCAGAAACGTTATCATTAAGTCATAGGGTGAGACGATGATTTTGAATAATATTGACCGGTGACAAACAATAAGTTTGAGTATAGTCACCGAATGATGACCATTTGGTGTGTTTCCATGCATAAGTAAATTATGTCACTTGCGTAGGTTTTAAGCCCAAATTAGCACTTTTAATCAATTTCTTGTACTGTATGCAGTATATGTAACAAAAACGTCACTGCGCAGCGTGCTGTTTTGCCATTTCCTGTGTCTGGCACGGGTTCACAAAAGTTTGCCCTGCTTATCTATAAGATATAAAATTCATGTAATATTGAATCAGTACTAACTGCATGCTACTGATATAATAGCTATGGTAACTGCTTTCAAAACGTACGTTTAGATGTCATATGATAAAGTTACGGTATTGCATTTTAAAAAAGAATTTCTCAAAACATGTCAATCAGAGGTTCTTTGACCCGAAATGTTGACGTAAGCGAACCGGATGAGGAATTGTCTTATTTGGCTTACAGCCCCTTATTTGGAGAGTACATACCCCTGACATGCCCCTTGGACACTTAAAAATGTGCTTCGTTGCCGTTTTGTTGTAAGTTTCCTCAAATTACGACTGCTAGGTATTGATTATTTTCGACAAGACATTGTACAGACAATTATACGGTAATGTTGTATTATATTTTTATCGCATTGACATTGTTTATATTACTTGTGAACACCTGATACATTAGTGTTGCGTTTACACTTTAGATCCTAACTCAGAGGTCCCAACAGGGAAATGACTTGAGTTGGGTTTCGATCAGGGCTAGGAATGAACACGCGTTTGCGGTCACACGCAAATAGTAGAGAAAAAATAGTAAATTGTAGAGAATGAAACATGTTGAAAGCAGTTAATTGGTGTCAATTGGAGCGAAACTTAGTCTAGAAGACCTATTAGATCCATGGTAAAATTTTACTACATTTTTTCTTTCTTTCAGGCTTTTCAAGTAATACTATCAAGATTAACTATGGCAAGAACGGTATGAAAAGACATTCTCAATTTATAGTCTAACCTGTACACCAATTCAACTTATTATTTCAATTAATTTTCATATATATCATAGCGACCTTAAAAATTATGGGATACCAGCGCTAATATTTTCAATAGAAATTTCTCGTTCTCGTTCTTTACAACTCAACTAAAACGAATGTAATTACACTGTTTTAATCTCCTTTGGTTTCACGAAAACTAATATAGAGAATTGTTTTACAGATTAAAGGAAGAGGGTTCTGTAATGCTGATGAAATAGCTGTTTTGAAGAGTAACTACACAGATTGTTATCCTTGCCCTATATGCCGTCGAGGACGTGGAGCAACCCATCCATGTGGGACTGCTGTAGAATCCTTCAAAGTATTAAACAAGCCCATTGGTTGTGAACGGTAATCACAATTCGCAAATTGATAATAAAAACAAAATTTAATCTGTCGGTTACTGATTCCTTATATCCCTTAATTTGATTTGTGATCATACACATTTAACCCGATGTTAATGCCAATTCAAGAATACTTGTAAACCTCTATTTATAGGTGCATCAAAGGACAAAACTACTCTACTGATAGATCTATAGGTGTGTGTAAGACCTGCACTATATGTCAAGAAAATCGTAAAGTCGACAGGAAGTGTACGCGACGATTAGATACTGTTTGTGGTAAATGTAAGAACAATTTCTATGAAGAAACCGATGACATGGGATACACCTCATGTGAAAAATGTTCTAAATGCTGCCATGATGGAAAGGACAAAATCGAGCAACATTGCGTTGACCAGGGTCTACCAAGTAGTGATGTTTGTAGTCGTTGGCCGGATGCAGGGCGTTGCCGTAACAAACAAAATGATCTGCCAGCTTCTGCCAAGGCGTCGACATCAACAAGCTCGCCAAAGACCACTACGGCATCGACAACACTCCCGCCAGAGACAACAACATCGACAACACTCCCGCCAGCAACATCGACAACACTCCCGCCAGCAACATCGATAACACTTCCGCCAGAGATCAGCAAACAACATCATCAAAGCTAACGGGAACTAACGATATTTTCATTGCCAATACGACTTCATCCACGGTGCCTGTTGAACCGGAATCTATGCTAAATATACAAAATATAAATCAGATCAGCTTGAGTGGCATTGTCTTTCCCATCATTGGTGCTGTAATTTTGGTCATCGCTATTTACTACTTCATTAAATGGCTGCGAGAAAAGAAATGTCCGAAACGTCCTTCTAGTGATACTCAAGCATACGAAGCTGTAGAACTACAACCAACTCAAGCGGATCACAAAGAGTCTGCAGAAGGGAAACCAAATGACCAGGCAGAAAGGAAAGGTATAAAGCAGTGCCGTAGAGATCTCAGGAGTACATGGAACAAATCCCCCTCCCCTCCCTCTTCGCCTTTCCCCCTCATCAGTTTTCTGACAATGAAAAAATAATTTAAAAAAAACTGGAGCAGGCAATTTTCATTTTCATTTTTCTGGTCGAGAAAACAAAAGATCTCAGTAGAGTGGTAAATTAGGAGGAGGCTGTTTCTATCTATCTTAGGGACTGCGCAATATTTATCAGGAGGAGGGGGTTGAGAATCCAGGGGCAAAATCTAAAATGTGCTTAAAGAGGGGGGGGCAACGTCTAAAATTAACTAGAAATCAACAGTGTCAGATTCGAAAACATGTCAAGAAAAGACACGATTTGCGACAACTCTTTTTACACGAATAATAAATAAATAAGTTCATGGTGGTGCGGTAGGGGGGGGGGGGGGGGGGGGGTAGTAGTTAATTTTTTTGATTATTTTGGCTCACTTCTCAAACCCCCTCTTGATGATAAATGCGCAGTCTCTTATACCATGCAAGATTTACCGGTCATCAACTTGGGATTTGCTTCGAGTTAAAGTCATTTGCTAAAATTTTGTTTTAAAAATGAAAAAAAAAATCTATTGACTGAGAACCGCGTTAGACAATTCCAGTAGGAAGGTTTTAGTCCGATTTTTTGGGGGTATATTATACATTTTTTTAATATATAAAAAATAGCAATTAAAATTGTTCAAAAATTGATATAAAATGCTAGTATTTCTGTTATTCAATCGTCTTTAGATGAGTCTACAAGGATAACACCATACCTGGATAACCCTGAAACTCACTGTACTGCTGACGGACCTTTTGAAAAAATCTGCGATTATGTCAACGGGCTCAAATATGATGATTTCGAGAAGGTCTGCATCCGCTTGGGTATTGGCTATCTGAAGGTACGTCAATTCTATCCTCATGAAAATACAGGAAAGTTCAAGAGCGTCCTTAGGACTTTAGCGTCTGAAAATCCCAACTTGACCCTTGAAGACATCGCCCAGGCTTGCGAAGGGCACCAGTTTGTGGTCGATCTGCTCAGAGCGGAAGATAAACGTCTTCAAAAAAATAAACAGATTATGGATGAGGAAACGGTAGAGGTAATTCATGGTAATTCATGTAATTGATGAAATTATCAATAATTAATAGTTATGACAAATCCTTAAACGCGTAATGAGTTTTGCCTGTGAACATAGATTAATACTGCATAGTGCATTACAATACCACAATGGATTGTTGCTTAATTTAAACTCCAAAGATAGCTGCGTTACAAAATTACGATTCTGAACTTAATTACTTTTCATTGAAGTTCTTGACTGAACGGAGCTGATATTGTCACTCATGACTCTCACTTTTTCAGTTAACGGTGATAAAACGACTAGCAATGCATTGCGGTCTTGTAATACACTTCTAATACACTGTTGACCTTAGCCTGCGTAGTGGCTCTAGGGGAGGGGCTGAGTTCGAATAAAATAAATGGCTTACCTCTCGAGATGTCGCTAGAAACTGCTTTATTCTTTAGATTAATTCGAAAAATGATAGTCTAGCTTTACGCTTTTAGTAGCCTACGTAGCCAGGCCTTCTTAACCGCTTCGAGGAAGTTGCTCCTTCGGCCCAAAGTCTCTCGAAACGGGAGAATCTACGTAGAACTCAATTGATGTATAATATATTCATAAAGATATAATACAACACACATAATACAATAGAACGAGAAACAATGGAATACAATACATTTTATGAATACAATACATTTTATGAATACAAAACATCAACTGCGTGCTACGTAGGTCAGCCCCTCTCGAAACGCCTAAGGACGCCTGGATAAGGAGATAACACTTTAGTTGAAAGTACCGTCTGAAGAGTAGCTATATAGTAAAAATATAGTGAATAAGCGTAGCCCGTGTGGTCCTTGTGGTTTTAGGTTCGAGGAATTCGATAGTTGTACCGTTACGACTAAACTACCCTTAGCAGTGTCCTACCCTCCTTCCCAGGCAAATTTTTTCTCTCCTATTTTGTAATGGTCATCTTGGCCGCTAGAGAATAGTGACGAAAAAAGACAGGAAGACCGTGACTGCTAGTGATGCCTGTAGGGGAGGCTAGTAATGCCCCTGCATATATTAAAAGGTTGTAAATTTGGTGTAAATATTATGTAAGTGTCCAAAATGATGTAAATATGTGAATTTGATGTAAATGATTTACACCAAATTTACATCATTTTGGACACTTACATAATATTTACATCAAATTATTAAAGTGCGCGATTTTTTCCATATGTGACCTTCTCATAGAATGTCATAGTAAATGTTGATGTCATTTTGGCTGATCAACTATTGGGCTATTAAAGTTCGAAAACTTCAAATACGTATTGGACGTATTGATGGTTTGCGAGCGTGTTAAAAATGGGTTTTATGCCTTGCCTCTGGAAAGAGAATTACGGTCTCATCTTCAGTCCAAGGTTTACGAGATCTGTCATTCAAGC